GAAATTCAGCTCTGAATTCACCTCTACCTTGAATGGTTGATATTAACACCAGAAAACAGTATTTTGTCATTGCAACAGATTTGAAGTCACTAAAAAGTCTATTTCTTTCTTAATTGAATGCGCACTCAGTATCTCTACAGCTTGAGGTGATCTATGCTTAAGATTGCTGCTTTGAGTCCTGTGTAAGCAATTGTGGTGCAGAAGTCAATGGCAATCCACTGTGTATCTCAATAATAAAATGGAGATTATGAATAATTTTCGAATAATCGAATCATTGTTCAGGAGCAAAATCTGACACAACACAAAATAATAATACTGCACTGAATGTTTAAAAAATTCTATAAACCCAAGATCACCCATTTTCTCGAAGGAAGTAGTATCATTTGATTCATTGGGAATATTGATGGAATTGAGATTTTCATTCAAATTTCACTAATGATTATATCCATCAAATTCCAGCTTTTATGAATATCTGGTTACTATCAAACACAAAGTTCTCCAGGAGTGATGATGTTTTAATTGTTCCCAGAAGATCCAGAGGAATGTACGAACTCTTGCCGAGGGCTTGTCACTCGATTTAAATGAGCGCGTTACACGCGATGTTGCCGAGTTGCGCGTCACTGTTCCGACCTGTACAAAGCGCGCTAACTTCTCCCTTTGGACTGATTTAGGCTTATAATTTTGCAAAATTCTCCCATCTGAAACGGTAGACGTCCTTCAAAAAGCGCATATTGATTATTCGAAGTGCCAGCTACCTAAAGAAGTTTTTAAAAACATATTCAACAGTTAACTTTTTCACAATTTTAGAATTTTGGGTCAAATGTCAGGTCACCATACGAGTCCATGTTAAAACAAACTTTATGGTCTCGATACGCGAAAACTAGACGGTAAAATCGATTCAAACTCTACCAGAACATAGGAGACCATCTCATCTTTCAATTCATACAATAAAAAAAAGGCATGTACTTAACACTTATCTCGCTCTAACCATCCTGTTTCAGATTTTCAGGTCTTTACTGTACATACTTTTTAGTAATCAAACTATGTTATCAGATTTACATAATTATTAAGTATAAAGAAATGAACTGTAGTTTAACCGTTTCACAAGACACGTACTGAAAGTTATACTCGCATTGCAATCGGAAAAGAGGGAGATTCTACCAGCTCCAGCAGCAATCTTACTTAACGGTGGGAACATATATAACGTACCCACCTTTAGTGTTGAATATTTCGATGTTGCGATTCGTTTTAAAAGTTTCGAATTTGGGTATAGTCTTTAATTCGGGCAAACGTCTGGTACATTTGGTTTTTGTTTCTTGCGTTTTTCTCGTGTGGGTATACCAACTTAACGTTAAGATAGCGTACCCACATTTTAGTGTTGAATATTTCAATGTGCATAAGTAGAATTTTTTTTAATTTGGGTATAAATTAGTCTTTAATTAAAACAAAATTCTGGGATATAGTTTTTCAATATTGTGAGTAGTGGGTATGCTAACTTTACGGACATAGAGGGAAGACCGAGTTACTATTTTGTTAGCAATGCAGAAATCATACTTGCAATTCGTTTACCGATGCAAATAAGTTTTCTATAACAAGGGAACGAAAATGTCTAGTTTTATTTTCAAATATTGCTAATCTCGTGCTTTTTTAAATTTATTTTTATTTGTTTTAATTTCAAACTTTTACCCTACTTTCAACTATATATTGTTAAAATGACGCGAAGGGATTCTGGAACTCCGGAAAGCGTGTGCCTATCTTCTCCCCCCAAGTCATATACAGTTTTTACTGTTTTCTGACTAAATAAATCTAAATCAAAGTCCCATCCAATTAACTGAAGCGCTGGACGAGCCCATTTTTAAGTTGCTGACCTGCAAGGTATGGCACCCACACTGCTGCAAAAATTTTAGAATAGGGCCATCAAAGAGATAACTAATGCCTTTCTGATCGGCTATGCACATGTGTTCCACAAGCTCTTCATAAGTTCCCAGAACAAAAAGAAGAATTTGTCAAATTTCACGAAAATAGTGTTAAGTGTTATTTCATACAGAAGCATTTATTAAAATGTTCACTGATAAATATGTTAAAACCCTTGCAAGATGAGGCTAAATATCAGTTTGAAGTACTTTGATGTCTTGTTGCAGGAAGAAACTGAATTTACAGTAATTTCTACATCTTCACCACTTTTTACAGTTCAAATTTGTGAGAGATGACTACATAATGGTAGTAATATTTAGTATCTTATAGAAAACTCATTCAGGTCCGTGAAAAAACGGCCATTAATGGAGGTAACTGCTTAACCGGGGTGGACATTTCTGCAGTTTTCATATCAATTACAATTTTATAATTTTCAAAAAGGAGAATTTTTTTTTTTTTTATATATATATATTTCACCATAACTGCTATCAAAAACCACTGTCATGTTTCAAGGGGAAAAAATAATTTTTCATGAACATTGTAGCAGTTTTATTATTTGAATATAAAGTTTGGGTGGTACTACTTTTGTTGAGCATATTTCATTTAAAATTAAATTAAAGTATGTTGCAATTCAAGTGGAAACGTTTTAGTTTTCACTTCAGAATTTATTTTCAAATTTACCTAATGATCTCATTGGTGACAATGCGCAACCCTATTAGTACACATCTATAGTACATTTACATGTTAGAATGGAAATGGGCAATGTTGAGCGCCGCCAAAAGGCAGTGCAACAACAAATGCTAGTGATGACCAATCAATTCTGCATTAGTTAAAAAAATATTAATTATGTTTTACTATAATAATTTATAATTAAGTAATACTATTTTAATAATTCACAAAGAAATTTATATTTCGATATTAGTAATTTAAAAATAAAATTAGTTAACCCTTCCGGGTTACATTGGGTCACATTGTTCCATATGTAGTACAATTAGCATATTTTTAATATATTTGTAAATTATATTGTGCAAGTTTTATTTACTAATTTATTTTTAATACCATTAGTTGCTGAAGAGATACATTTCGCTTTCTTCTATATTATAACAATATCTTTCAATGGTCGTTGAAAGATATTCTGATGAAACAGATCAATATGCGATAGGTGAATTTTATCTTCCATTGTTGTATGACAATGATCTTAGAATCAGCTCACGGTTTCTTTTTATGCTTGTCAAAACCATGTTCTATCGTTAACTGTACAGGTGTACCATTGTCGATTCTCAGAAGTTCATTTTGAGTGCTTAGCTCCCGACCAGTCTCCTGGCTTGTATGGTAGTGTAACCCATGTAAATGTAAGTCTATAAGGGGGGTGAGGATAGGACAAGGAAGAGGTAGGAAAGATCGCACACGGTCTGTGGTCCATTTTTCAGGATACTGCACCAACAGTCGCTTGGTATTGATCGGAGAAACCACAGAAAACTACCAATCGGAGCAGCCCGCTGCTAGATTTCTCCTTCACAGACAGTGACTGAATTCGAATTGACAAGCTGTCGAAAATCATGCCACCATTGGGAGATGAACCCAGGACCTCCTGGTCAGAGGGAGATCAGACTTAATGCCCTGAGCCATCTCTTCTGGTGTCTCTGTAAGAAGCCCTCCCCAAAATCCACGACGTCCTTCGGAGCGAGAAAAATCCGAATCCTGACTAACACATCCTAAGAGAACGGCAATTATTAGGCCAATTGTAGAAATACAGTTTGACACTGTAAACCATCTGCCCGAATTTGATACAAAGAGTTAAGCCCATTGTAAATTTCAAAGTTGTAATGGCAAAACATTTATCAAAATGCCTTACATGTAACAAACATACTTTTATAAGTATCACAGGGGAAGAGATTGTTAAAAAAAAAATTCATTTACAATGAAAATTACTTGAAGAAAATTTGCATTTTTTTTTAAATTATCAATATTCTTTTTTATGTTTGCACCATTAAGAATATTTCAAATACCTTAACATATTTCTTCCTAAGGTTGCAAAAAATCTCCAATTTAGAAAGTATATCAAATTACTATTTTTTTCTTCACTAAAACTGAATATATATATATATAAAAATTATGAGAAATTTTAAAAACTACTTAATAGAAATGTGTCCCATTCCCAGCACACGGATGGGATATTCATGTGAACTATGTTGTTTCTATCCTGTGGGATTTAAAGGATATATGTCTACTCTGGCATTTTACCTTCACCCCTTTAGCTTTACAACAACAATAGATGCATATGTACATTAAAAATGGATATGGTTAAATTGATGCTTTCGTGGACAATTTTTAAATGACCTATGCACACAAGGGTCCTTCACAAACAAGGAGCACTATGGGTTAAAAAGAAACATCTTTATTATAAAATTACATCTGAATCTATGATCCAATCAAACAAGTTTCCCTTTGCACTCATACTTAAAAAAGTCAGTTACTTCACTTTCAATGTTACAATAGTCTATATAAAAGTTCTCCTAAATAAAAATTCAGCTGAATCTGGAAAACATCCCATATTGGATTAGTTTTCATGTGACAAATACATAAAAATTAAATTGCATTTGGTTTCTGAAGAATACAAACACAACATGGCCAGATATTTGTGTCATATGCACTCAAAAATCTGAGGTTGAAATTTAATCCTCCTGAATCAGGTAAGAAAAAATAAAATTATTTTACACGCAGAAATAGTCATATTATCTCCCAGAAAGAATCCATGTTTCAATGTACAATAATAGACAATAATTGTGTTAAAATTATATGCAATATTAGATAAAAATTAATTTGTATTTGGTTTCTTTTCACAAGCAGGCAAGTTGTAGAATGTAAATAAAACACAATTAACAAAAATCCATGTTCACTACCAGCGAGCAGAAAGCTTTTGCAACTGATACAATTTTGTTAAACCAAAAAAGAGATGTACAATGAACTTAAGTACTCACAATCTCTAACAAAAATGATAAAAACCACAGAGCAAAATACCAATTATTGCTTGCAAATATATATAGCAATAATTGGTATTTACGTATAAAAATAAAACTGGCATGTCATTCCACAAGAGCATCATCAGCGTCATTCAGCCTGTACCCCATGGAATCAATTACTTTTATACACAACTCAAACATGACTTTTAACACAATTGAATTTGTGATCTGAAAGATAAAAGATGTGAAAATTACATTCTCAACATTAATTTTTTTTTGCGAAAAATATTATATAAAAAAAAAGGTTTGACCATTTTCAAACTGAATATGTAAAATTTCTACAAATTTCATTCAGTGTAAAAATTTGCCAGATTACCACCTATAACCAAAGCAACTTGAAAAAAAGAAAAACAACAATCTTCTAAATGAAATTTTAAAAAAATAATCTTAATCAGAAGACAAAATGATTAAAACTTATTTCAAGGAAAGGCAGCAAGGCATAAAATTAAAACACAAGAATCACCTTATCTTGAAATTCTAACAGAACACATATTTTAATCATTTCTAAATAAATCACCAATCATTTTGGTACAAAGAATTATAAAAAATTGTTTGCAATGCAGTATCCAGCACTAGCTCATTACAACCAGAGTTTTTGGCATATTCAATGTACTAGCAAAAACCCAGTAAAAAAATTGAACAAATAAACCTATTCAACCTAACTAACAAGTTTTCTCAGAATTTAAGAGTACCCACGAATTTTTGCAAGAGTCTCGGTGTTATCCAAATACTCCAGAATTATAATTTAAATCAGTATATACAAAATTAATCCTAAGTAATAAAATATGAGAGATACATTATGAGACAAATTATACATTGTGAGTTAGAAGAATGCACAGCACAGGAAAAGAGCAAAGAATATCAATTTACAACAAAGCGATAAACACATCAATGAGAATCAACATTAGCTCTACATTTCAATAAGAAATAATATATACCATGCAAGTCATTACAACCATTTTGTCTTCTGAATTGCAAAAGATAAGAAGATACTGTTTGTACAAGCGATAGTATTATCTCAAGGTCCAAGAGTCCAACATTTATTACAAGACATACAATGAAATGTGATATGACTTGGGTGATTCCCCCTGCATTTTTCACAAATATCTGGTCATACTCTGTTTCTAATTTAAAATGTACAAGAAACAAAACAGTCACTAAAAGATCACTTAAACACTGTCAAAAGTTCATTCCTCTCCTTTTCTTTTATACTACCTTTCTTCAAAAGAGGAAGATAGTCTAAAAGATGTCAGTCATAACTGCTCATGAAATGTCTGCATAAAACTGCACACACGCACACGTATCAGCTCAACAGCAGACATATCTTTAGACTTCTTTATGTCAACAGGCATGTCTTCAGGTTGATATCAACTGAAAAAGAAGTATCAATGAACAAGAATTTCAAATCAATTTTAGTTATATTAACAATTTACCACAAGAAACATGTTGAAACAGTGATTAACCAATTGAGACAGGTTTTGAAATCATAAGGAATCATTCCTGCCCTTAACGAGACATCCCGAAATCTTGGAGCTTGCTCTGTAGACGAAAACATTTCAGACGATAGCCAGAACATTTTTTCCATCAATGTTTATTTTAAAACTTCTGATAATGTGAAAAGCGAATGGTACCATGGTACTCCAGTGTGATAAGTGTTGCAAATTATAAGATGTCTTGAAAACATCTTAAAAAGAGTAAAAGTGTTCAAAACAACTCATAAAAATTGAAGGAAGATACACTTAATAAACTAAAGTACAAGATTCCATTGCACTTTTTTTTTACCACTACAAGCTACGGAAACCCTTCCCTACTTGTGGCTGATGTGAAGCCACAAGTTATATTGTACAGAATATATACATACCGATTTTACAGTAGTCTTAATGAAATCTTTCTTGTGTGCAAGATCAAATTCTGGATAATGAGCATACACTTGCTTGCAAACGATCTTCATAGTTGTTTCTTCTAAGTTAGCACCCTCCAAAATTTGTTTGACATAACTCTTAATTTCTTCATCCTTAAAGCAAACACGAAATTTTCAATTAAAATATCCCATCATCAGCATTTTCTCATGACCATGAATAGATCATATGAAATTTATGAAAAGAAGACTTCCAAAAGACTGGATTCCCATTCTGAATTTTGGTTATATCAATGATCAATGAACAGCAACAGTTCACATTTAAGTCATATATTGACAATTTACTTCCATAGCATAGTTTTATTAATTTATCTCCCCCATATTGGGTGCACTGAGAGAACTATATTAACTTTGAAGCGACTAGAGATTTAAAATACAGTGGAAATCCGGAAAATACAGTTTTTCAAGGAATCGAAAATTTTGGGAGTCGTAAGCAGGATAACGTGATAAATAAAATGATCAATTTATTCTTACTTTTCACATTTCTGTCAGCAAACCACTATAACAGACAACTAATGGATATGTAAATTACACACAAATATCTAAGAGATGAACTAAACTATTCACAAATGACATTGAATAAAACTAAATTACACAAAAAAAGCAAAGCAATGCACATTAAGGAGTGTGCCACATGAGCGTTGCTTTTGCGCGCGTTACCTAAAGTTGATGACGTCAGTTGCGTTGATGTCTGAGCACAGGAGTTGCTTAACGCGCGTCCCAGAATAGTACTATCTTATGCGAAACGGAATACGAGCGCTGTTGGTAACGCGCGTTACGCGATGAAAACTAGAAAACGCGCGTTAACTTAACGTTGTAGCTTGCGCGTCTTGCTTGACCTTGTGGGTGTCAACGCATGTCCCAAGAGCGCTTGCGTGCCGTTTCGCATAAGATAATGTTAATCTACGACGCGCGTTAAGCAATTCAGGTGCGCAGGCATCGTCGCAGGTGACATCAACGGCGTTTGGTGACGCGTGTCAACGCAACCCTCGTGTAATAGACCTAAAAGGGGAGGAAAAACTGGCGCGGAGGGTACAGCGAAACACTGGCACTGGACTCAAAGTGCAAGTATTGCCCATTATACCTTAGCACACATTGAAGTCGGAGCTAGTGCCCGGGAATACGCGTATCTTTCGCGAAGCCAGTTACATGTACAAACTTTGAACGCGCTAAGCGGGATTATTAAATGAGTAAAGAATTGGATGGAAAACAGGTACTTGAAATTTGATAAAATATTTTTACTGTTACTTGAAAATATGAACACCGGGCCGGATTTAAGTATTGCGCCCCCTCCCAGAGAAAATGGTTCCATATTAATGAAATAAAAATTAATACACGTATTTTCTGAACAAAAATGAAAAATATTTTATATAAAATTTTACATACAATATATTTGTTATATTAAATACACGTTACACAAAACCGTTAAACATATCTTTACGAGGCGCGGGGACCCTCATGGAACATCTGATTTTGCTTGCTGTAGGTAAATCCCGCTCTGAACGTAATAAGCGGGAAGACGTGATAACGGGGAAAGTGCTAACTAGATTCCACTGACCTAATAATTTAACAAATATTTTTTGAATGCTCCTGTACATTGTGAGAACAAGTAAATCCTCAAAGTTCTTAAGTAATAAGCTGCCAATAATAGACGTTCAATAAAACTTTTACAGAAATTTTAAAACATCACATGTTGAATCTTTACACCTAAGAGCAATCTTGTAGAATTAAACAGCGGTGTCTTTAAAAGCTTACAGATTAATAACTTTTAACTAATGATAAAATTGAAAGCTTTAGTATTAATTATAATCTCTACCTACTAGTACTGTTTCAAATACTTTAGTTTATATCAAAACATCTGCCTCCTGGATTCTGCATAATCCATATAATCGTATAATCTCGTTCGAAGAATTATGAAATATCACTAATCATTAATATTTTTTTCCTGGTTGGCCTAAATTATATGGAAACGTTACATAAAACATTACTATAATAATAAATAAATTATAGCTTCGGTACTCAGAAAACTCAGTCTCTCAGAAAACAGGAAGGAACAATTAACATTCAACACTGTGTTCAGATAAAAAAGTGAGAAAAATATCCAGCATCTCTCAGAAACAGAGAAGCATACTGATTTTTAATTTATTACTACTTTGCACTTTGATTTTGATTTGATTGAATTTGGAGCCCACATCTGTAATTAACAGGACATCATAAAGCATGATCACACCTTTGTTTTCAAAACAATCCTACATCATTATTCTGTTGCCAGCAAAGTGAACAATCAATATTCAATGTTCAAATCTAAGCATACAGCAAAACTCAGTTACAATTACTTTCTATTATAATTTTCAACATTCTCATGAAATGGTCCTTGCAATATTTTCATAAAACCACAAAATATTTCACACATGTTCTGTATTTCTGTGAAAGCAGATGTTCCAGGTTCGGGTAGTGTTAAAACTTTAAGTAAGAAAGGAAGATTACATCAGTCAATATTTTTTATTTGTTACATTTACTCGGTCTGGTTTCACGCATGAGGAATTCCTACATTTGAGTATGGTCTCCAATCCCATTTGAGGGCAGAGCTCGATGTATATGATGTACCCTCTCAATGGAGATTTCACAGGTGCGAAGAACAAAAATTGTAATTCAGCTTTCAGGGATACCATTTCCAGTCAAACAAGAGATTACGAAGAAATTATCATTTTCATCCACGTGAGTGCTAATGTTAATTTGAGAGTTAGAACAAAAAAGTTTACCATTCCTTTGAATTGGTAATTTTACAGGGTTTAAATGCCTTTTTACACTCCTACTTCAACGAGAATAAATGCCTTTTTGCATGCTAATTTTAATAAAAATTAATGCTTTCTTGCCTGCCTAGTAAATTAATGCCTGAACTTCCGGGCTTTCGAAATGCTCCTTTCACAGTACTAGTGAATAGGAAATGAAATTTATTGTAATAATAAAAGCAAAATACGTATGTGTATATTGTTCCAAAATATTTAAGAAAAAATAGAACACTTCAAAATACAAATTGACAGGAAATGGGCATGTAAAAGTGTATGTTCAAGTACATGCTCTTTTCGCTCCAGTCATTGTCTCGTAACATTCTGATTGAATATATTGGATTGATGGATATAAAAAATAATGTTCAGGGCCTATCAAATATGGTTAATACTTTTATTGAGCAATTCAAAGGACTTGAAGGTTATTGAAGCGGGAGCTAAAGATGATAAACTGGCAGACACTAAGTCAAGCAATACTGGAAGAATTGAAAGACTTGAGCAAGATCGGCATAGAAGGGCACCCACTTCTGGCCAAATCTTTGAAGAAATGGAAGAATATAGGTTTAACGAATTCAACATCATTATACATGGCATTGAAGAGTTGAAGACATTGATAGCTGAGGATACAGATATTGTGGAAACAGTTGTCGAACGTGGAGATGGAAGAGCAACCTCATCCACATATAGTCAAGGTAATCAGATTGGGAACACAGATTGCCGGACAATCTGGTCACAATTGTCCTAGACCAGTTTCAGGTGGTTAGAGCGAGATATTCCCTAGTAGATCCAGATCCAGAGTCCATATTACATTGAAAAATAATTGCAAGATAAGTAGGTATTGTGGGATCTACATAAACCAAATAGGAATTTTATGTTGAGTTTTATTTAATTATTCGAATTATTTTAGTAATAGATGTAAAATAAAAACATTTTAATACCACATGAAGAGCTACCGTCTCCCTTTGGACTGATTTAGGCTTATAAGTGTGCAAAATTCTCCCATTTGAAACGGCAGACTTTCTTCAAATTGCACATGTTGATTCTTCGAGATGCTAGCTATCAAAAGAAAAGTTTTTAAAAGCATGTTCAACAGTTAATTTTCTCACAATTTGAAAATTTCAGGTCAGATCTGTCAGGTCACCATAAGAGCCCATGTGAAAACAGCAAATTTTACGGTCTTGTTACGCAAAAACTGGACGGTAAAATCCATTCAAACTCTAACATAGAACATAGAAGAACCTCCCATCTTTTGATCAATACAATACAATTACAATAAAAAAAAAAAAAGGCATATTAAACATAATACTTATCTCGCTCTAACCACCCCCCTAAGCTAAGATGGAAATCTGGAATATTTTGAATACCCCTCTCTCTCCTGTACCGCACCAGTAACACACACTTGAACCCCCTCTAATAATTACATAACACTTGCAACAAGACCCCCCTCATTGCAATAAGGAATAATCAATTATAAAGCAATTGTTGGTGGTGCAGACTGCACATAACAATAAATTGGTAATATTTTTTAGTGAAAGAAGGATGCACAGGCAAGAACAAGCTGTGCACACGCCATCTTGGATCACGATTTTCTTCCTAATATGATTTCGAGTTCCTCATGCGTCAACACAAAATCCTTAATTATTTTCTGTCAAATCTGTGAAAATGACTAGCAAACGAATGACAACTTCTACCATATTGCCTCTCCAACTAACAAGTATTGTAAATGAATTGATTTTTTTAACTTTACTTACTCAACATATGCACATTCGAGAATTGCTGTATGAAACCACCTGATTTGTAATTATTGTTCCTAAATTTACTCTTTGAGACTTCATTTACAAATGTGTATCATGCACTTCCATATTATAATTACATGTATTTAAGGGGAATATCCCGTAAACAAACAAATGAATAAAGTAAATAACATTTTTGCAAATAGAAATCTACCATATAGTTCAAGTCACAAAGGTTGAATTACTACAAGCTGATTACGATTCGATAAAGATAATTACAATAATCGATTACAATAATTTCTAGGAGAGGATACATCAAATACTAAATGCTTACACACCAAGCTTAAAGGTGAGAAGAAATGTAAATAAATGCTGGATTGAGAGAGAAATAGTGAAGAAATCTACAGCAAAGTGAAGGGCATGTGTTACTTGAAAAAGAACTCGAAAGGATGAGGCTTACAGACTATATCAAGGAATATACAAGATCATAAAATTGAGTAGAGAACAGAAGGAGAAATATGAGGAAGTTATAATCCAGGAGGGAAAGAGGCAAATGTATTCGTCTATTAGAACT